TTTTTCTTCTCCGGAAAAAAAAAACAGTTTTTGCTGTTTCTTTTATGTATTTAAAATCAAGAAGGCACTCCAGGGAAGAGTATATGAGGGCGGGAGAAAGCAAGGTGGGGATTGGGTTACAGGCTTACACTTCAGAAGGAGGCATTTCAAAGGTGTGTGAACCCAGATGCACAGAAACAATGGACAGGGCTGGCTTAAGGCAAAGATAAGCCTTTTACTACAGAAGTTACATGCCTGGAGTGTGACTACCCACCTTGACCTGCCCAGTTAGGAATTTATGATTTATTACAGCACCCTTTTTTGTCCACAGAAGGAAGCCAAGGTTGTCAGGGGAGATTCTGTGAGCTGGGAAGAGAGAATAGGGCGGGAGGGTCTAGGGGCTGTATGTGTGGGGTCTTGATCTTGGGGTAAGCTGAACTATGTATGAGGATCTTGAGACAGTGCACACCCTAAATTTTGACAGCTGCCGCTTTTAGCATCGTAAGATAGTTAGAATGTGCAAAATTAGAAAAATGAGAGAGAATGGCACCACAGCACAGTACAGGAAGGCGTATGACCCAGGGTTCTAGAATCAAATTACCTGGGCTCCACCTGGGGACTCCACATGCTGGTTGTTTTGACTTTGGCCGTGTGACAACCGTTCTGATCCTAGTTTCTTCACCTGTAAAACAGGGTAATGACAGACTCTCCCTCACGGGGTGTCAGTGAGGATTCAATAAGCTATTGAGTAAGGATTAATGTCTGCATAACATCTAGGTAATTTATTATCTCTTAAAGCTAATCTATATTAACTAATCTGTGAAAGCAGTTAGCAGAGAGCCAGACTCGTGCTAAATATTCAGCAAATGATAGCTACTACTGTTGTTTACCTGCCCTCCTGGGGCTTGTAAATGTCCTCCCAGCAGACCCATCCTGCTGCTGGAGCAGTGCCTCTCAGCCCCTGGGGGCCTCCCCTCCTCATCCCCTTTCAAGGTCGGGAGTTCCCGGTTGTCACCTCCTGCCCAGGTCTCATGATCTCTGGTGTGTTTTCCCTGGCCTTTTCAGCGTGCTCTAACTTTTTACAAGCCTTTTATTTTCTAAACTGGAATCATCTAGAGACTGACTAGAGTCCACTCAGATCGATGTCACTCAGCTAGCGGTCCAAAATCAGCCCTGGTCGTTCAGCCAAGGTTACACCAGACAGGAAGCCATCCGTAACAACACAGGGCTTTGAGATCTTACAGGAAGACAAGGCATGAGAATGTGATTTTGTTTAAATGTGTTCAGGATTATATATAATATTTATTGTTTTAAAATTATGTTTATCTATAATTGTAACACCTGTGTTTTTTAAATTTATTGTCCTATCTGGGTTTTACTTCAGAACCCAGCTCAGCATTGAAAAGGTCCACAGGCCGGGAAGCGACATCCGTTTTTCACATAGTGCCACCTAGTGGTCGCGTAGCTGCAGCTGCGCCTGCGGCTGCTCTCAAATGCAGGTTGACTGACCTGGGTTGTTCAGTTGCCACTGCGCCCTGGAGAGTTTCATAGGGGATAAAGGGCAAAGGGAGATTCCTGAACAAAGAGCACAGGGGCTGGACCTGGAGCGAGTGCATGGAAGGACCTGGAGCAAGTGGATGAGCGTAAAGTGAGAGACAGACAATAAACATATACATAATATAATTTTACAAGGTGATGATGCTATGAGGAAAACTGAAGTCGAATAAGGAGAAAGCTTGTATGGTAGTGCAGTTGAGTACAGACCCCAGTGTTGAGGGCCCCAAGGAGGCTTGTGTGCATGGAAGGACAGAAGGCTGACAGTGAATGGTGGTGAGGTTGGCAAGGCCACCAGTGCAGGATGCCACAGACCTGGTCATCACAGGCCTGTTTTAGTCATCAAACTCTTTTATGTGATTGCTGTGGTTATAATTTAGTCAATAACCATGTCTACAAATTTCTGTTTCAAGAGATACTGTAATTCATCGTCGTAAACTGAGCATAGTTTGAACATATAGGGGAAATAGTTCCAATTTGTCTAGCTTAGTCACCTAAAGCATCTCGATGTATTGATCAGAACTCAGGGTTCTTAAGTGGAGACGTGCACCACACTGTCCCAGGAACTGTGTCATTTGTCCCTGTCCAAGCCCTGGTCTCAGCTTACTGAATCAGAACATGGGGGATGGGCGAGGGGTGCTGATATGTATTTTGAATAACGTTTCCAGGTGATGCTGCTAAGCAACTCTAATTAAAACTAAGATAATAAGCGTTGTGACTTTAAATTCTCTTTTATTCTTCTAGTCTCCAAGGACTTTGTCTCCCACCCCATCAGCAGAAGTAAGTACCACTTTTGAAAATTATAGTGGGTAGAATTGGGGAGTTCCTTGGCCCTTTCTTAGCCCGGAATTTGGGGGAAAACCCATGAAATAAAATAACAGAAAAACTGTGTGCAAGATTATGGTGAATGTGGGATTCCTTACATGTAAAATATGACTAGAAGATAGAGCAATAAATTTCTGTTTAAAGAAGACTAGGGGGTAAAAACAGCCTTATACTGATCTGAGCCTGTGCCTCTAAATGGTAGGAAAGGGTCTGTAGGGAGTAAAGCCACTTAACGTGGGGCTCTTTCGCCCTCGTCCATAATTAATTGATCTGAATCCTAACATACTGGATTATCTGCAAGGACCAACAGTGGTTGGAGTGTGTTCTATAAGCAGAGCCCTCTCCGTGCGGTAAACAGACCTGGCAGTGGCTTTTATCCAGCCCACCAGGCCGGCTGGCTGTTCCCTCGGGAATAACCTCCTGTGTGTCTGGATCACATAGAGCCATCAGTGATTATCCCGTAGTGAGCTGTGGGTCCCATATCAACCCAGAAATGCGCGTCCACTCTGCAGCATTCAAAACCAAAGACACACCCCCAAATGAGTTACTCTCATGACCCATTTTAGAACAGGTTCTTCAGGAAGCAGATCATAGCGATGACAAAATGAAACAGCTCCTTCACACTGTACCCTCCACCCACGTAGTTTCTTGGTTTACCCTCTCCCACGTTGACTACCTACTTGGTGACCAGAGGCCTTAGAAGTACTTTCTGTTGTCCTTGCGTAATTTGTCCCTGGGTGGGGTGGCTTTGAGGCTGGTGGCCTAATAAGTTCAGACTGTCCCAGACCTGACCGACATTCACCTAAAAAATGATAATAAAAGTAAAAAATAAAATCAGTAGTCTTAAAGCCAAATAACATTCTACATAAAGCTGGACTGATCTTAGGTAATTGCTATAATTTGAGATAGGATAAAGCCTATAGTATGCTGATGGTTTATGATTGAGTTCTATGAATGATTAATTTCTATTACTATTCTGATAATTACAACTGACGTTATGAAGAATTAACTTCTATTATTGACCAGTTGCGAGATTTAGGCGCACTGTTTGGAGACTTTTTGCTTTATTGTTGGTTTTATTTAATTTATTGTTATAACCAACTAGGATCAAACCAAAGTTTCTTTGCCATTTGCTCTGAAATTTCACACAGCCATGGTTACTGAGGTTTTAAAATTTAATCATTTTTCATGCGTGCTTTCAAACTTTTATTTTTATTGTGCTGGTCGAAACTTCACAGGTCAATAAATCCCTAAAATGTAGTACATTCTTATAGTCTCCTAATTCTTTTAACAGTTTTATATTATGTTTATGTGTGAATGATTTTTTGTACTTAATACCTAGTATATCATTTTCTAGATTTGGACATAGTGACATGCTAGTGGTGCTATTCTATTTCATTGATTGATATGCTATAATTTACTTAATTATTCCCCAGTTTGTTGAGTATGTGATACAAAATTTTGACTATAAATGGTGGTATTATAAATAGCTTTGAGTAAATTTTTCCATTTAGTGATCATTTTTTATTACTGCCTTGAAATATGTTTTCCCAAAGCAGGAAGTAGATTTACAGGGTTTGAAGCCACTACCAGCTTGTTCTGCAGGAAAATCAACTTTAAATGTCACCAGATCAATGTTACGGGCATTGTGGGCTGGCAGTCAGAACAAGGGGTGAGATTAGAGTCGGGAGGTGGGCTCTGCCTGTGCAAGCTACACACTTACACGCCAAGCATGTCTCTTACCTGCTTGGGAACTTCTGAAACATTTTGCATTTGTGAAAAAAGAGGTACTACAAGTCCTACCTTCCTTATTATGCAGATCTGATGAAATGATATATGTGAACACACGTTATAAAACTCAAAAGCACAATATACATGTGGTCATTGGAATGATTCCCTCTTATCCAAGATCTCTATCAACATTGGACTTCATAATTTTTACATGTTAAAATTTTGGTAAACGCAAGTACTATATAGGTTCTGAACAAAATGCGTTAACCATGGGATGCTCGTTTGCATAATATCAGGGATATGGCCCTGAAATTTGCATGTGAGCAAGTGGACGTGAGAGTTCCTGAGCATCTTTCATGCAACTTGGTAATCACTTGAACATGATGGTAGCCTGAACGCATGTCGACGCTCACACTTTCTGGCACTTTCCAGGGCTACCCAGACGTTCGGGACCGGATGATCCACCGGTCCACCAGCCAGGGCTCCATCAACTCCCCCGTGTACAGCCGCCACAGCTACACTCCAACCACGTCTCGCTCGCCCCAGCATTTTCACAGACCTGGTAAGAGCAACAGTTTCTGGGATTCACCCTATATGATGCTCTGTGTCTCTATGTGATTTTTTTCCCCCATCCCTAATAGCCGGCTGCCAAATACATACCCCTCTCCCAGAAAAAAAAAGAAAAGAAAACTCATGTCCAGCTATAGTTTGTGTCATATCTTTTCTTGAAACGAGTCATTTTATGGTTATATTCACTATGATTTATGAAATAATTACATTTTGACAGTGAATGACTGGAAGCAAGGGAGAGTTATTTTAGATCTGAAGAATACCTCACCACTTTTTGACTTAAAATGAAGATCTCTAAAAGAAAATATTTTGATGTGCCTTTTAGGCACATCAGCGTCATCTAAAGGCCAGTATTAGCCACTTGTTGATGGGTTTATTATGTGTCCCTTATCCAGGCACATGGTGTTATGAAGCAGGCGTGGTTACACGCCTTCTTAGAAGGAAGTATTGTATACAGGCTCAGGGTTGTATACAATTTTTCAGATCCAACCCTACAATTTTGATCAGACTTGGAAAACATAAAAACACTTGAGATGTATTGTGATAAAGATTATGAAATAGTAGTGGACTTCAGTTGACGTCTATCTGCAGGATTTAGTCCCTATTGCTACGAGGAGTGTCTCCTATGTGGAGCAGAAAAGGGATGGGTATCCCTGCATAGATCCAGGATGCCCTGAGAAATGGGTTCACAAAGGAAGACTGGGGCCTTTGAAACAAATTTGGTGGTGATACCATACATCTGTGCAAACTTCATTTTAAGCTCCTTTCTTCTGCGGAGACTGACAAAACAATCCCATTCATATTTTATTTTATAAAACAAAACCAAAGGAAATGAACAGAATGTAAAAAGACTGCCACCTTCTCATTAAAGCCATAGATTGAATGATGCTTGTAGAGGATCGAATTTTTATTATTTGACCCTTCAAGAACATATTGTTTTTCTCTAGGCTCATAAATATTTACTCAGTATTTATTGAGTTACATTAATTTTAAAGTTAATGAGAATGTCCAGGAAACGAATTCCTTTCTTTTTTCATGCACAACTATGTTCATTTTATCCATGCCCTGGACCTGAGCCTGGATTTAAGCCCTTGTCTGTCTGGGTGACAAGAAATCCCTTATGGCAGCACCCCTGTGTTTGGGCATATGCTGAGGCCATTGAGACCTCAACCATGACCTTGTCAGATGACCTGGGATAAGGGGAAATTGTTATTCCGGAGACCTCCGGATAGTGAGGGAGTGGCCAGTCCAGGGACATTGTTGCCCTGATATGTCACATCCTTGTTGAGCACTAGAAAGTTCTCATCTGTTCCAGTCGTGGTTCTGTCAGTAGCCTAAGAATATCCCCCATTCTAAGCACCCCTACTCTCCCTTCACAATACCTATATTACAGATATGCATGATGCTCATTGTTAGGGTTTATAAATATTTTTCCAGGTCTACCCTTGTAAAGTGAAGCTGGTGGGGTTCTGATAACATAGTTGTGGCCAGTATAGAATTCCTCAAGTTATGAGGATCGTGAGTAGCTCTTTGACACCCAGGGAACACAAACAGGCTTTTTTGTTTGTTTTCAGTTTTGTTTTTTTATGTAGGCAAAATAAAATAAAACTTCCAATGGGAGAAGTTTGCAGCTTAGAAATAAGAACCTGACCCTTAACCTATAAGGACTCCTTTTCAAGGTTCTTGAAATGATTGTCATTTTTCCCAGTGTATTTCAGAGGGATCCGTTTTGTCAGATGCTTTTTAAAAACAGCTGAATGTTGTGCCCCATACTGGCTCAATGGTAGCTTGGTCTCCTCCTGACCGAGAGTGTCCTGGTGGCCATGCCTTCTCACTGAAGCCATTTATTCTCTGAGAGCGACTCCATACTGACCTGCATCTATTCATTTGCAAATTCTCCCCCACTTGGCCTAGCCCTTAGCAGGTGCATTTCTTTTTCTTTTTCTTTCTTTTAAGATTTTATTGGGGAATTGGGGGATGGGAACAGCGTTGGGGCGATGTCCTCCACAACTAGACTGAAGAACAAAAGGACAGCAACTAGTCTGTTCCCCTTCCCCTATTCCCTAACGCAGGTGCATTTCTTAACCCTTTTTCCTTCCTCCTTTTTCAGACTTCTGATTAACGGTCTTTATCCCCGCCCCCCCCCCCTCCTCGAACAATGATGTTGTCCCTGCTCCTGTGTTAATTTCTGTTCTTCTTTTCTGTTTCCACCTTGTCCTGCCCCGACTCCTTGCTGCACAGAGCTGCTGTCTCCTGGTGTGCACAGGTTGTCCTACCTGCGCACCAGCAGCCTCAGCTCCGCCCACAGCGACTCCCGCCCCAACTCCCCCTTCCGACACCACTTCATTCCCCATGTCAAAGGTAAGGAGGCAGGCTTCCCCAGGCAGCACCTGCGGAGTGGAGATGCATTAGCAGCACCTTGGGAAGGCTAATCGGTGTATCTCCAAGAGGTTACTGAGCTGCCGGCCTCTCAGCATGCCTGCGTGTGCCATGACAACACCCAGCAGTGTCTTAGAACTGGCATAGTGGCTCTCCTTAGGAGAAATATGTCATTTCTAAGGGCTCTAGATGAAGAAACAGGAAGTATGTTTGAGACCAGAAGATTTATTACCTACTCCTTAGAAAAATATATATTATTATTTTGTTTTTCTATGGGTCAAAAGCAAAATATAATATATAGTGGGGGTAGTTACCTGGTTTTCATATGTGATATGGCTCAGCCAAACCCAACAGTAGTTAGCAACAAATACCCCAAAGGTGTCTTAATGGTGCTCGGCCTCTTAACCACTTAACAATATTAAAATGTTTGAACGGTAAAAGAAAAAAAAAAAGACCGATGGCAATGTAACTTAAATTTCTCTGTTTGAGCCAACTCAGAATAATCTTCTTTTGACTTGTCCTGATTTCTGCATGATGGAGAAGACAGGCCTTGCCTTCTGTTTTCTGTTCCTGCCCCCCATTTCTGCCCGTCCCCTCTATGGCGTTCCCATTGTTTCCTTCATTGTCCGTTATGCTTCTGTAGCAGTCCTCATTCGGGGCCCGCCCGCTCCGTGTGTTAGGGGAGCCAAGGGCCCCGAAGGAATTAGGAAGGGGCCCTGATTTAAAATAAGTATGAGCTCCCAGAAGGATGCTAACTTTTTCCGTAGTCTTGATTTGAACCAAATCAATGAAAACAGCTCACAGAGGGAGTAGCAGGCAAGCGTGGATGTCATCATGAGTCTGAAGACTGTCCCAAAGGATCCTTACCCCGCGTTTCAGGGTGTGCCTCATCCACGTGCCTAGATAGTATCCTAAACGCTGTTGTACTTGAACTTTCCCTTGCAGTCTACCCAAACTATTCTCTTTTTGCTCACTTGGAGTTTTGAGCAGCTGAGTCCTAAAGTATAAATGCAGTGTACTTACCAGCACATAGTAATTTTATATGTGCTATTTTGGCATTTTCTGTGCTATCAAAATAATATTGCTGACATGCTTATTGAAGACACTTGCCCTTAGCAAAGGGATCCGTCTTTTTTGGTCGATGCAGCACTTTCTAAAAATCTTGACAGATTTGTTTTAAATGATTATTGCTAATTAGTATTTTGGAGGAAAAAGCTCTTCTACTTAGATGTGAAGATGATACTTTAGAGAATATTTATAAAACCATAAGAAATTATAGAACAAAACTTCAGAGATGTATTTTAAGGACTTTAATATAGAAGTCCTTGACCAAATTAAGTTTGTTTGTTTCTAATACTCGTATGCAAGAGAAAATACATTTTGAATTCATTAAAATGGAAACTGCCTTGTTTGGTTATTATATGTTTCATCTTTCAGAAGAGATACTTTTTGTAGAAAGGAAAACATCACATGCCCTGTGAAGTTATGCAAAGTTTGTAAATAGCACATCACAAAATATCAAGACTTACCACACCGTATGTTTGTGAGCAGCCGTATATGGAGAGATGGAACACCCGTATGGACACTGGGTCCTGGGTTTGAGTATTATCTCTGTCACTTGCTAACTGCGGGACCTTGGATTGTTGACTTAACTTTTTGAGGGTCACTTACCTCATCTATAAAACCTCTCCTGGGGTGGTGACCAGTTAGCTCAGTTGGTTAGAGCGTGGTGCTGATAACACCAAGGTTGCCGGTTTGATCTCTGCATGGGCCACTGTGAGCTGCACCCTCCTTAAAAGAGTCAACTATGCCATTGTAGCATGAAAGCAATGTGTAACCAATGACCATGGCTGTTCCCCATTAAAATTAAAATCAATCAATCAATCAATCAATCTCTCCTGGGCCATTAGGATGTGTGAGATAAAGTGCCCCGATGTACAGGAAGCACTGAGCTCGCGTCCATCTGTGGCTCCCCTTTGGCGTGGTGCTGCTCTTAAAGCACTTTCCATTGCATCATTCCATTTGCTCTTTAGCATCCCTGTGAAATACCCACAGGGCAGAGATGAGGGTGCTGAGGCTGCATCAGTGACCTGGCCAAGGGCTCGCAGCTAAGAAGGCGCAGCCCCTGGACCAGACCCTCGGCCTTCCCATCCCTCATTCAGATTAGGTGTGTGTGTTTCAGTGTAAATATATGTGAAGTATAATCTTTAAAGCCAACTTTTGCATCTCTTTTTAACTAGAAAATTACACTCTTTTTGAGGGTAAGACAAACAGCTATTTCAGTCATTTAAATGACAAAATGAATACATTTTTACTTGGCAATAGAACTATCAAATGGTTATGGAAATTACAGTAAGCTCTCTGTGCCTAAATGGTGCCTTATTAAACATGTAGATATACTTCCTTTTCTGTTTTTAGTCTGAATTTGAAGTTTTTGACCCAGTCAAATACTATGGATTTGAGTTATAAAAAGCATTAGGCCACGAGGGATTAGCATGACCCTGAGCTTATACTTAAAAAACATCTAATAGCCTCTCTTCCGTTTTCTTTTTACCAGACATATGCCTATAGTTTGTTCATATGAAATAGTTTACAAGTATATACTTCAGATACAAAATGTACATAACAGTATCTGCTTAGCTTTAAAATCTGGTGAAACTTTTGCTAAACTACAAAATCACGGAGAATTTGTATGCTAAAGATGTTGCTTTAAAAGCCTAATATATTAATAATTAAATGGCTAAATGCTGATTCTCCAAAGAATCACTCCTCAGTTATTTTGAAAAGCATGTATCCATTTACACGGAAGGCTTCTCCAGCACTGGGAAATTTCAGTACGGAGGGAACTTACGCAGCCATTTGAGAAACACATCTCAGGGATCTTTAAAATGGGGCAAAGCCTCGCAGAGTTTTCCATGGTCCTTCATTTGAACATTTACTTTTTATCTTGGAGCTTGTCTTGTGGTCTCGGGGGAGTTATTTTTTAAAACAAATGTAAAGTGGGGAGCTTGAGGAGCCCAAGGTAGGGTGACCACCTCAGGAATAGGTAGCTAGAAGCAGAGGGCCCTTGCCGCTGGGGCAGCCAGCAGCCCAGCCGCCCGCTGCCCACGTCCACTTCCTGGTCGTTACTGCTCATGCATGTGACGCAGGCCCCAGGGCCCACGGAGCTGAGGATGAGGATGCCTGCGTGGCTGTAAAGCTGAGATGCTTATCGCAGGCTGGCTCCGTTTCATTGGCTTCCATTTTCTGAAACACCTGTCTTGTTTTCAGGGTGTTTTTATTTCTGTTTTCTGACCTTTCTCGTAGCCCCATTCTACACTGGTATGTCATTGTTGGACCATTTGGACAAGTGCGTGCCTAGAGATTTGGAAACGCTGTTTCCACTTTGTTTGGGGCTCTGTTAGTGCCTTGTTTTCTGAATTTCTCTTCCCTCCTCTTTGAAATACTGTGAGTCATTATGTTCTGTGTCCGTGAAGTGTGAGTCAGATTTGTGAACAGGAGGGCTATGTGTATGAAGCCTCTTTGAAATAATTCTTCCCTGTTTTGCTACAGATATGAGTTGCTGTGATGCACATATGTATTTGACATTGCCGAAGGTAACCATAACACTTATTGACGCTTTAGGCAAGAACCAGCGACCTTGAAACTCTGTCATGAAATTCTAGATGCTGCCAATTTTAAGGTCCCCTCAAAACATCCATTTATATTTTGAAATACAAGCATTGAGAGTCCAGAAAGCTAAGCCGTGCTCCAGCAGGTTCCCACAGCAGACACAAGCGCAGCCATGTCAACTCACTTGTCTTAGAAGTTGTCACTTAGACTCTCAGGGTGCCAAAAAGAAAGTGAGGACAGAACATTTGAGTTGGTTCAGTACCGTGAGAATCCTGCAAGTGTATGTGGGACCTCCCAAGGACTAAAAATTGGCTTATTAGGTGGACATGGAAGGAGCTAAAACTGAAGGCCAAGAAATATAAATATAAATATATAAATTACACACACACACACACACACACACACACACACACACACA